TAAAGAATGGAATAATAGGGGCGCCTGGGTGGCGCAGTTGGTTAAGCGTCCGACTTCAGCCAGGTCACTATCTCGCGGTCCGTGGGTTCGAGCCCCGCGTCGGGCTCTGGGCTGATGGCTCAGAGCCTGGAGCCTGTTTCCGATTCTGTGTCTCCCTCTCTCTCTGCCCCTCCCCCGTTCATGCTCTGTCTCTCTCTGTCCCCAAAATAAATAAAAAACGTTGAAAAAAAAATTTTTTTAAAAAAAGAATGGAATAATAGTATATATACCTACATCCTGGGTTCTTGCTTCTGATCTCAGGTCCAGTCTCAGAAGTGTCCCCTGAGGACTTTTCTGTCCTGAGTCCAAACCAAAGGGCCACTTGTGGGTTAGGGAAGGTGGAGAATGGACCTAACATTGACTGAGTGGATTAGTGTTCTTAGAACATACCTATGGGTTGTCATCGGCCTTATTTTGAGATGAAGGAACTGAGGTTCAGAGAGAGGTCCGTTAGCTCATCTGACATTGCCAGGCTAGTAAGAGGGATTTGAATTGCAGTCTGGGTGCCTGCAGAACTCTTGATCTGACCTACATCAGCAGGTTGAGTTGGGGCCCACGTTCCTGAGATTTGCTGTGCAAGGGGCTCTGTCACCCAGAGCATATGCCTCCCTGCCTCTGGTCGGATGGCCCCATCTCAGGCTATGTGCTGACCTGGACCGGTTGTGGACCATGGTGGGGTACAGGCTGGAGTGCAGTTCCTAGGGGTGTGCATTTAAAACGAGGAGCACTTTGAGGAGTTACTGTAAAAAACCTACTTGAGTGCTGATGGGGCTCTTGGCTAAGAGGACTGGTGTGTCCTTTGAGCTGTTGAATGATTTCCACTATGATTTCGGCCCCTTGGATTCTCTTCTTTCGTATTCATATTCAGAAGGTTTTCAGTCCGACTGAAAGATGGTTTAGTGTTCTGGATGGGACTGTGGGGATATTGTAAACACTAATTGAGGACATGCCAGTCTTTGTTTTCTAATAGTATTTAGAAAGTGTTTCTAGAAAGTGTCTAGAAAATGCACTTTGGGAAGAAGGTTACTGAGAATTTAAGATTTTTTTTTTTTTTTGGTTAATATTACATCATAAATCAATTACCTAGCAAACTAAGAAAAATGTACATTTTTGTATAACTTAGATCCCTCCTTCACCCAGTCATACACAGGGATGAAACACTAGTATTTTCATTCAGTCCGGTTTTGGAATCTCACTATTGCTCAATTGTTTTTCACCCTGAAATATATAAATAATTGTTAAGCTGAGTTTTAGGGGGGAAAAATGTTAGTTAGCTCTTGGCGTCTCCTTCACTGGACTGCTTTTTGGAATTTCTTAGCAGAACTAGACTCAAGTTGGTGGATAAATTCGAGGACCTCGTTAGGTTCCCAGTGATTTACATTTGTATTTGATTTGTATCTGTATTTATATTGGTTTTTAAACTACAAATCTTTGACTAGTGTGTTGTCTTTGTCTCTATGTGTTTTGAAAATGTGTGTTTTTCAATTTGGAGCACCCCCATTAACGTGGTTTTTGCTTACTGTACCTTTTATATTTATAGGTGTATTTGTCAAACCTTGCACGAGAAGATCACAGTCTTAGTGACTCATCAGTTGCAGTACCTAAAAGCTGCAAGTCAGATTCTGATATTGAAAGACGTAAGTAATTTCTAGACATCTGTGGGACTTGCTAGCACTCAGGTGTGTTGAAGGTGAGACCTCCCAGCAGGTCTCTTCTCAGGTTTGTGCCAAACTCCCTCTCCTTCCTTCGTTTTGTACCCTGTCCTGCCCAGAGCTGGTATTCCTGCTTTTAGGCATGAATCCAGACATGTAGAAATGGAACTGTTCCGCTCTAGGCCATATTACCCTAAATATATAAAATTGGTGCCTCAGAGTTCTAAATTATAACTGTTCTAGTAAAATTGCTTGGGATAGTGATGCTGTTTTATTTAGAACTTTTGTTTTCCTCTTCTTCCACGTAAATCAAAGTGTATTATTTGAAAATTAGGGAGACTGAGACATACTCGTTTCTATTTGTCTTCTGCAGTTTAGCCAAAGAGCGTCTTCCATTAGTGACAGAAGCGTGGTTGGAAAGCTGAGCGCCCCTGGTCGAGACATGCAGTCCTGCGTGTAGCCAGTTGCTAGTCTCCTGGCATAGGGTCCTATATGTGCCCCATATGTGTGAGAGCCGGGGCGGTGATAAGTAAAAGTCCCTGCCATCGTGGGGCTTCCATTCTTGTGGGGACAGGGGTAATGTGTGGGGCAGGGGGCGGCGCATACCATGACTGCCTCCCCAGGGAGCTGGTGCCTCAGGGGACCTAAGTGACATGAAGGTGCTGGCCGTGCAGTCACCTGGGGGAGGGGGGTTGAGGCAGGGGGTCCAGCGGCGGGGTCCTAAGGAAGGAACTGACCTGGCATGTTGTAAGAATGTCCAGAAGACCCGTGTGTCTGAGGCACTGTGGGCGAGAGAGTGTGAGGGAGGTGGGCTCAGAGCAGTGGGCGGCTGGCCCGGAAGTGGGTTGGAAGCTATTGGATAGATCAGAGCAGAGGGGTGATGTGGTCTGATGCATGGTTTTAAAAGATCCCTCTTGGGGCACCTGGGTGGCTCATTTGGCTAAGTGACTTCGGCTCGGGTCATGATCTCACAGTTCGTGAGTTCAAGCTTTGCATCAGGTTCTGTGCTGACTGCTCAGAGCCTGGAGCCTGCTTCGGATTCTGTGTCTCCCTCTCTCTCTGCCCCACACCTGCTTGCACTCTTTCTCTCTGTCTCTCAAAAATGAATAAAGGTTAAAATAATTTTTAAAAGACCTCTCTTGATGTTTGCTGGAGGGGCAACAGCAGAAGCAATTAGAAGTCTCAGTAAAGTTCAGAAGACGGAATCATGGGCTCAGATTAGTGTATCAGTTTCTGGAGCTGCCATAACAAATTACCACACATTGCATGGATTAAGTAACAGAAGTCTATCATCATCACCCTTCTGGAGCCTACCAGTCCAAAATCAAGGTGCTGGCAGGGCCATGCTCTTGTGAAGGCTCTTGTGGGGAATCCTTCATCACCTCTTCCAGCCACTGGTGTTAGCCAGCTGTCCTTGGTGTTCTCGGTTTGCCACTGCAACACCGTGGTCTCTGCCTCTCTTGTCACATGGTGTTCACCGCGTCTGAGTCTTTCCTCTTAGAAGGACGTCGGTCATACTGGATTTGGGGTCCATCCTACTCCAGCATGACTTCAGCTTGATCACATCTACAAAGATCCTATTCAATATTAGGTCACATTCGTAGGTATCGTGTTTGGGCCTTGAATGTGTCTTTCTGGTGGAGCCATCATTCAACCCCCAAGAGCTAGCATGGGTCCCAGGGTGGGGGTTACTGAGAATTTTCCAGGCTTAGTAGTTGTTTGATGTTTCACTCCTTGGCTTGTTTACCTCTGAGCCTCAGCACCTCGGTCATGAACCCTGGTCTGCTCCAGCTGGTCCTCGCTCAGATCCTCACGACCTCAGATGAAATTCTGCCCTAAGAAAGATGACGAGAGTGCAGAGTGTCTGCCTCTTGGGAGCAGTTACCTGTGTCGACTCCTGCAGTCCTCTGGGAATAGGACGCTCTGATTCCCCGAACTGGAAAACATTTAGTTTCATGTGCAGAGGGGATGATGGAGTCAGGTAAAACCCCAGCGTTGGCGGGGTTATGAATATAGAACCAACAGCCTATTTAGCCAGAGTCTGGATGTTTCGGCGTCCCCTTACTGTTTTTTTCTGAGGACATTACTCCCAACTTTACTACTATCAGAGCAAACCGTTTGTCCACCAGTGAGCTCTGCTGGGTGAGTTGTTTATTTTTATTTATTTATTTAAAAAAAATTTTTTTTTTTTT